GCCCCCCCTTTTAAAAAGGGGGGCCCCCCCCCCCGGCCTGCCAGTCTAGAGGTACTGTTCCCAACCGCCATGCAATGTTGCAAAGGCGTGTCAGCCAAGCCAGCCCCACAACATCCAGAGACTTAAGGTACTCAGGGCGGATCTTATCCACCCCCGGTGCCTTGCCACCGAGAAGCTTTTTGACTACCTCAGTGACTTCAGCTTGGGTGATGGACGAGTCCACCTCTGAGCCCTCAGCCTCTGCTTCCTCATCGGAAGAAAAAAAAAAGTGACTTCAGCTTGGGTGATGGACGAGTCCACCTCCACTGTAAACAGTTTTGGCAGGGCACTGCTTCCCCCTCCTGAGGCGCCGGATGGTTTGCCAGAACTTCTTCGAGGCCGACCGATAGTCCTTCTCCATGGCCTCACCGAACTCTTCCCAGACCCGAGTTTTTGCCTCCACAACCACCCGGGCTGCAGTCCGCTTGGCGTGCCGGTATCCGTCAGCTGTCTCAGGTGTCCCACGATCCAACCAGGCTCAAAAGGACTCCTTCTTCAGCTTGACGGCATCCCTTACTTCTGGTGTCCACCACCGGGTTCGAAGATTGCCACCACGACAGGCACCGGAGACCTTACGGCCACAGCTTCGAACGGCTGCATTGACAATGGAGGTGTAGAATATGGTCTACTCGGACTCAATATCTCCAGCCTCCCCTGGGATCTGGTCAAATCCCTGCCGGAGGCGGGAGTTGAACAGCTCTCTGACAGGGGATTCTGCTAAACGTTCCCAACAGACCCTCACAATGCGTTTGGGTCTGCACCCAGCACCCCTCCCAGGGAGTCCAAGAAGGCCGGGTACTCTGCACTGCCATTCGGCCCATAGGCACAAACGGCAGTGAGAGACCTATCCCCGACCCGAAGGCGCAGGGAAGCGACCCTCTCGTTCACCGGGGTCAACTCCAACACATGGAGGCTAAGCTGGGGGGCTATAAGCAAGCCCACCCCAGCCTGCTGCCTCTCATTGTGGGCAACTCCAGAGTAGTGGAGAGTCCAGCCTCAATGGGAGGATGTCCCCACGTTGCTTGTTTGGGCTAAGCCCGGCCGGGCCCTGTGTGGGAAGGCTCGGCCACCAGGCACTCACATTCAAGCCCCAACCCCGGGCCTGGCTCCAGGGTGGGGCCCCGGTTGCACCATGCCGGGCGACGTCACGGTACTTAATTGAATTCTATTCATAAAGGGCTTTTTGAACCATTCTTAGTCTGACCTGTCACCCAGGACCTGTTTGCCTTGGGAGACCCTACCAGGGACATATAGCCCCCGACAACATAGCTCCTAGGATCACTCGCGTACTCAAACCCCTCCACCACAATAAGGTGGCGGTCTCAAGGAGGGGACCGCCTTTTTTAAGAAATGTAAAAGCATTCAAATTACTGGCGTATTTTATGTCATAGAACAAAATGTGAAAATGTATTGGCCTTGTATTAACCACAGGGTCTAAGCATCTAACCAACAAGTCACTGGCTTCAGAGTGAGGGAACTGAAAGGGCAAAGATGCTAACTCAGTTTCAGGTTTTAAGACTCATTGCTATGGCACTCTATGTAGCAGAGTATCTGAAATGACTGCACCATTTTATTTATATTAATATGCGCTGGTTATTACCTGGGGCTGAAACATATTTAATTACAACCCCAAATCAGAAAAAGTTAGGACAGTATGTAAAATCTAAATTAAAACAGAAAATAGTGATTTGTGTACCATCTTGGGATGCCCATACATATTTCAACAAGACAATGCAAAACCTCATCCTGCACATTACCAAGGCCTGGCTGTGGAGGAAAAGGGTATGAGTGCTGGACTGGCCTGCATGCAGTCCTGACCGGTCCCCAATAGAGAATGTGTGGCGCATTTAAAAACGTAAATTCCATCAGCGAAGACCCAGGACTGTTGCACACCTTAAGACTTGTTTGCAGGATGAATGGGACAAAATGACACCTGACACGTTTAATCACTTGGTGTCCTCAGTCCCTAAACATCTCACTAAACACAAGTGTTGTGAAAAGGAATGGTGGTATACGCTTTACTGTCTCAACTTTTTTTCGAATGTGTTGCAGATGTCAGGATCAAAGTGAGAGTTTATTTTGAACAAAGAATAAAATTGGCGTGGTATCACTTCAAATAATGTGCTGCTGCATTGTTTTCAATATAATACAGGACACAGATGGTTTACAAATCACTACTTTCAGTTTTAATTTTGATTTTACACACTATACCACCTTTTTCTGATTTGGGGTTGTACCTGTCGACTGAGTCTTTTGCTCAAGAGATGATTATGAATTTAAACAGAGGGCACTCCTTTCATGTCCTCCTAAGGTGCCTTAGGGAAATTACTGGCCCCGTTAACTGGGCTAATCATCCATTCAGCTAATGAAACGACATATGCATCCACCCGATTGGCTCTTTTAGCCAGTTGTGTCAGTGTTCCTGACATCCTTCACGTCTGTTTTGAAATGTATCAGGGGGGTTGAGTGTGCTGTGATAATTACTGAAACAAGACTGCAACATCCCACATGCCTTCCAAATCATCATGGTCTTATGGGCTAAAGCCTCATACAAATTTCCTTAAAGAGATTTTCAGTAAGACTTTGAAACTTTGTTTGTTAAGCACTGTGTGTTGAGCTGTGTTTATGTGTCTCCAGATTGTGACTTAAACTTGGCTCATGAACATGTTTTATAATATTTTGGTCACATTAAGAATTACAAATTTCTGGCATTTAAGGCAAAACCCATTATTGAAGTTAATCTGATCAGCCATCAATCCATCCACCTTTATACGCTTTATCCGGGAATGGGTCACGGGGGCAGTAGCCTAAGCAGAGTCTGCCAGACTTCCCTCTCCCCAGACACCTCCTCTAGCTCCTCAGGAGAAACCCCAAGGTGTTTCCAGGCCAGCCGGGAAACACAGTCTCTCCAACGTGTCCTGGGTCTGCCCTGAGGCCTTCTCCCAGAGGGACATGCCTGGAATACCTCCCCAGGGAGGCATCCAGGGGGCATCCTAAACAGATGCCCGAGCCACTTCAACTGGTTCCAGTCAACGGAATTAATCAATGATCAGTAATTCTTCATACAGATTCATGTTTGAAATACAAAACTTTCTCAAGAAATATAATCTAAACTCAGTCAGTGCAAATAAAAAACATGACATTTAAATTTTGCTGGAATTAAAAGTGAAGAAACTGTAAATCCCCAAACAGTCAGTGAGCATGTGTTCATGTCTGGGTGTGTGTTAGTGTGTATGTTTCACAGTGAAATGGATTGTGCCTAACAGTGATAGATAACACTACCTGCGGGGAAGATCTGGGCTAAAGCAATGAAGCTGAGGACATGTGGGTCAACCTTTAGAGAAGAGCCTCCACTATTGCAACCATTTGTTCTCGGGCTCATCCATCACTAAGAAATCTTCTTAGATTACTGTATGAAAAAAGTAATCTGGGGAGATTACTGTGTGGCCTTCATTTTGTATAGTGCCTAAGAAGTGGCACAGATCAGAATAGATCACCTGATAGTGGAGATACACACCACTGTTGTGTGTAATCATGACCATATGTTGAGTTCTGATTCAATAACACAATGCCTTTATCAGCATCACTCCTGGGAAATATGCATTTATCAGCTTTTTATTTCCTCTCATAACACGCAATGCAAGAGAGTAAACAAAGGTGAGTGTGACACGGCTCTCAGTGCCTGAAAGAAATTAGAATGAGGATGTTAACACTATCATTGGGAAGTACTTTTAGGGTGAAATAAATGATCTTCAACACTGTCTCCTGCCAAAAATGTCTCTCCCACAATGGACTGTGTCATGTTCTGCTTGTGCCATCTAGTGGTGATATAGTACCTCATTGGATATGACAGTAATAATGTCTTCTATATCTCTGATGACATTATGAAGAGAGGTATAAATCTTTAGAATCACGTCAGTTTGATCATAAAAAACGGATTAATCGATAAATAACCTGAAATTCAGTGTCATTTGTTTGGGTATGACGATGTGTGATACCCACCAAAACTCAGCTGAGTATGTTGTACTTAGATTTATATGGTTAAAATATGTAGACACCCAAATAATTACCCAGCTCATATTTTTCACATCAACTTGAACTTGTTAGCTTCAAGAATTAAGGAGTTAAAGCAATCTATGTAAAATCAGGGTTCCCTCACTAATATGCATGTTTATGCAGCAAGAGGCTTTGAATTGAATCCATGTGCAGTACCTGTGGTGTATGACCTTTCTGTGTGTCTCCACAGAGTTCTACTTGTAAACCCGATGGCCATCTTGTAGATATGCCTGTGCTGTACTTTAAAATCTTAGGTCTTCCAGAAAGTTGAGGCCCTCTTCCTACATCCTATGTAGGCCCACACATGAGGTCCAGTTTATCATACTGTCAATCATGACCTGTTGTTTTAAAAGGCTTTGAAGAACCAGACAGTGGATGCACTTATCTGATAAGCTATTAGACCAGGTAACACTTCCAAATGAAATATAAAAAAACATAGGTTTTAGTCTATTGATTATAAACTTTTTTTTTTTAAATATAATCACATGTGGCAGTAGTGTTTTTCTACAGCAGCCCATGGACTGACTTGACTCATTCAATCAGTTCTTTGGCAACACCTGGCAGCTAGTTTCAGATCCCACAGAGCAAACACACAGACAAAGGAAGCAGATGGATGATGGCGACAAAAATTATCACCGTGTATACAACACATTAGACATCTACACAGGTAAGACAAGATGTTTTGTGCTGTGGACAATGTATAAGTTGTATAATTTCAGGTATTCTTGCATTTTAAACAGAGGTGTCTGCTCGTTGTTAAGTAGCTCAGCATTGAAACATTATGGCAGGACCCGTAAATCCTAAATTACACCTTGTTGAGTCCCCGTTGTTTTTCATAGCTGTTGCCTCGTCTCACACTGTACGAGTGCATCCAACTAATTTCAGGTACTTTTTGTAGGTTTTGTTGTCGTCAATGCTAGCTAGCTAGCTAACACCGCTAGCAGCTAGCCGCTGTGCCGCATATTTATAAAATGCAACCTTTTAAGGTGGAACGTATTCTTATGTGTTATTAAATGAATGATTGGACAATGTAAATCAATCAACGTACGTCAAATTTTAATATGTTAACTTTGGCCATGCAGCTTGTTCTATACCATAACAAAATATAAACTCATCGGCCACCTTATTACAATTGTATGCAATTCAGTGCGACACTTGCGCCTTCACATCTGTGTTTATGAAGCTCAAAATGTTTCCGATTTTGGTAAAACTATCATGAATGTATAAATTAAGTTTTGTTATTGAGGTCATATTTTAAGATGTTGTACTGGACTACATTATATTAAGTGGTGTTCCTAATATTCTGACCTTCTCATGTACAGTATGTGGCTCCGGACATGGAGGCACTTCTAAATAATGTAGTCCACCTTTAACTACGACCTCAATAATGAACATATATTTGAATTTATACATATGACAACTTAAAACTGGAACATTTTGAGCTTCATAAACATATGTTATGGCAGAAGTGTTGCATTGGGTTGTATACAGTGTATATGAATTCAATGGAATATTCTTTCTCTTTACTTGGAGAATAAAGTGGTGGAGCGTTGTTCCTATGTGCCCGAGCAGTACTGCACCTATTACTTTAATACAAACACTTGGCACAGGTCAACTTTCTCTAATTCACTTTGTTAAAAACTGACAGGTTATATCCTGTACTCTGAAGAAAGCTGAACTCTAATGCTTCTCTTGGCAAATGCTGTTTCTGGGTGATTTGCATCTTGACCCCATAATTCAACCATGAGAATAGGTGTGAAGCTCACCCTCATTAATCTGAAGGTCATCTCATCCATCTCCAGCAAATGCCCTGGGTTCTCTAAACTCCACTACATCTTCAACAAGGGCTCTAAAACTGAATTACATCCAGTCTGACTCGTACAGAGGTTCTGCTGTGCCAAACACCCATACCCATAATTGAAATCTTATTCAATTATAGCTCAATATATCACCATTATCACCTCCAAGGCCAAAGAGTAGAAAGGGGTGGCTCAGACAAGGTTCACATTCATCCTTTCCCCCCCTTATTTTTCTACTTTCCATGTCTCAAAACAAACTCAATCATTCCTTCAGCTTCTCTGTTAAAAATAATTACTTATTGACATCTTAAACCTCCATTTGATTCCTACCATCTACCCTATGTTAATTAGTTACATTGCAAAAAAAAAAAAAAAAAAAAAAAATCTCATCTTACAAAGAGGCTCCAAGCTCTGTCTGAAACTATTAGAAAATATCATTATTCATTAAGTTAAAAGTCACAAAGTTACAATTCCTTGTTTGTTCCACTGTGTTTCAATTATTTCTGTGTATTTGTCTCTCTTGCCCTTGAGGAAATTCAGTTCAATTATTTATTTGAACAAACTTTTATGTAACTTTAAAGACCTTTTCACTTTGCACAAGGACAATAAGTATTGATGTTCTGTTTAAGTATTTGAATCATCTAATATCCAAGTTAAGTAGTCTTTCCTTTTGAGCTGACACAATTATTATCCCAACCTCTTTTAACTAAAGCCTCTGAGTTGTAACATTGTAGATGTAGAGCGTAAAAAAAGATGTGTAACGGTTTTCAAGTAGATTTATGGCCATTACTTTGAGAAAAGGACTGTGAGACAATTAAACCGTAAATCACACAAATGCTCAGGGGCACTTAGTTTTTACAGGAATAATTCCACATTTTGGAAAATATGGTTATTTGCTTTCTTGTCAGTGTTGGGTTTTTATGCCTGTGTGAGTAAAAAGATGGAGTTGGGATATGTTTAGGCTAGCTTTAAGACTTGTTTCTATCCCAATGTTCTTTTAAAGAAGCTTAAAAATGCCTGTAAACCTGTCTCATTTACACAGCATGCCTTGATTAAATGGTAGATGAAATGTAAACCTGACAATTTGTGATTTCAGGGGCATGTCTGAACTACAGCGCTTCCTGACCGTCCGCTCAGGACATCTGTGCAGTGTGTCTGGCTTTGGTTTCCAAATATTGTTGGTGAGTACAGGTTTTATTTTTTGCACACACATGTACCAAACATAGCTCAACGTGCACTGATGAAAATTGTTCTTCACATCAGTGTTTCCCCTCAGGATGAGCTGTAATGCTTCAGTGATCCCCTGTATTTTCAAATAGTGCCATCATCAGGGTGGAATTTCAATTGGTCCTGTGTTTTGGTTTGACCTGAAAAAACTCCTAACCCAAGTAGAGAGATGTTCTTTTTCAGGGCTGGGTTTTCTGTTATTAGCTGTGTAATCAGGTTTTCTGGATGAGGAACTGTGAGACTGGTTTTTATTAAGATCGTGTTAACTGAAATAAGATGGAATAGTCACCTATACACATGGAAAAGTGTTGAATTAAAAACTTGGTAACTTCTAAGCTCTAAAGTAATTACAGTGCAATAATTTTTAAGTCTGTGTACCGAGCTCTGCACCACCTGTTTTGAAACCACTGATTCTTGAGAATTTGTGGAATAATTGGTGGAAAAAACTGGTTGAATTTCTGTCATCATTTAAACTGTTACTGTTTTAAAAAGTTTGAGGCATCCCCTGATCATTTTAACAGATGTTTTCCAACAGAGCAGATGTGATTGTCTCTGTGTAGCAGGTACGAGTCTGTGGCATCCATATTAGCAACTGAGCTTGTGAATCACAGCAAGTTTTGTTTGTCCATAATGAATGTTGGTTGATCCGTGTGCAGCCTCAGCACACCTTCACCTACAAGTTCTCAGTTTTTCTCAGCAGAGCAGCTTCACTAATTAGACTTTACCTAGTGTAATTGACTCTGCCAGCAGCAGAGTTGGGAGTTGGAGGATGCTCACAGAAGTAATTGCAACAGAGAAAGAGAGCTGATGATGAACCTTGACAAACATAAAACCTGTGCTACAAAGGCAGAATAATGGGGTTCTTATCTTTTTTCAATTACAAAAGCTAAATGGAGAAGGTAATTGGGAATTAGTGCAAAGTCTAAAAAACACTGACCAAAGAGGTCATAAAAATGAAGTTGACTCCATAGAGAATATTTACCCTCATACATTCTTGTTTTGTTTGGCTAAAAAGTTGCTTAAATCATTTAGATCTCTTTACTGACTGTAGTAAGTCAGAATGGATAACCTTGGCTGACTGTAGCAGATCTAGAGATCCCGTCGTCGAGAGCTCAGCTCTTTGTTTGGAAGCTAACGTTAGCTAGCAGCTGTCGGCAGGTGACACAAATTGCAGAATAATCAGTTTCCGTCCCGTCTGTGCTCAGACTGATCACTAAAGTGGACATTTAGATGTAGTTGAAGCATCCTCTACTGTATATATGTAGCTGTATGGGTTAGTTTTGTTTTTTTTTTATTGTATCACCCCTCGTACAGTTGTCATGCAAGGGGGAAATTAACTAGACACCAAAATTAAGAATTTACCTAAAATTCAACATGGCAGGACAACAACTTCACGTTCTCTATAGAAAAGTCTCAGTCATAACAAGCTACTTATTTGTATTTGTCTATATTATTAGATCCAATAAAAATTAGAAGTAACTTCCTAAACAAATGACCAGAATCTACTGTGATTTCTCTCAAATTTAGTGACTGGTTGTTCAGTACATACTACTGAAATTGTCTATTGTACTTCACATTTATTTGAAAGCTATTACTGCTGACTTCACAGATTGTTTTTTATATGCAAAATGAGATCATCATATTAATTAGAGCTGCAGCTGGCATGCTTTTCCTTTTCAGTTTTTTGTTTCAATTAATCAACCATTTGGTCTGTTACATGTCTGAAAATAGCTTCCCAGAGCCCAAAGTAAAGTTTTGTCTGACCAGTGCTCCAAGTATCCAAGAACATTTTGTTCACACAAATATAAAGCCATAAATCCTCTAAATGGAGAAACTAGAACAGTTGTTGTTGAAGAACTGACATTTCTATTTGAAAACTGATTGAGATTGTTAAAATAGTTGCAGATTTCCTGTCAGTCAACTAATTGTCCCTTCTGTTTAGTGATGGAAGAAGTATTCAGATGCTTAAAGGAGAAATAATTTTAAATTTTATTTAATTTTTGCACTACTGATTCCTTCTGCTGGATAAAGATAGGTGACAAGCACTGCATCATACTTTGAGGTCATATGTTTCATATGTAAAATACTGGTCTGAAAAGCAGCTGAAGCTGTGTGTAGGTATTTGCTCAGAAATACTATATTTGACTTTAACAGCCATGATAACTAGTTTCTTCCATCATTGCATTGCAGAAATGTAATTGTTTGAGCTTGTAGCTCTTATTTTCCTCTGAGGTGCATTTAAATTCTTTCCAGAACTTTCATTATATTTCCAACTCATCTGTCACGGTGACAATCTCTCCCCAGTGTGGACCACCTGCAAAACAACGCTGATAGCAGAGATAAGTGATGTGTGGCGTGCTCTTGTGGACCTGAGGATTTCTGCCCATGTTTTGGACGCACTTAAACTGCAGGAGTCAACAGCAGCTGAGAAGTAAACGTGCACACACACTAAACATTTTGACGTTGGAGCACCTGCAGGTGTTCAGACAAGTAGTAGTAAACATGATTAACTCGGGACCTAAAAGTGTTATTTTAAAGAATTATTCAAATGAAGCAAAGTAGGATTCATTTATCTTTTATTATGGCACTTTGTACATGTCACGTTACTGAATCAACATCCTGGGTTTCTTGGTTTATATGGTACATAAAAAAGATAGTGCATGTTTTTAAAAAAAAAAAAGAACAGACAGTGCATTATTTTTACCACAATCAAATGTCAGTGTAAGAGGGATACTTGATCCAAAGTTCAGTCCTATAGATTGTTGGCTTTGTAATTGCGTATGACACTAGCCTGTATTTCCTTATTGGTTTTCTGTGTCCCTAAAACATAGGTTCACATTTCTTCAAGTTAATCATGATAATTCTCACAGAAAGAGCTCCTGGTTGCTGTAACTGTTTCCCTTCCTTTCAGCATAAGTAACAGATAAAATCCACACTTCTGGTGTTGTGAGTAGAAAGTCATTCTCTTCCAAAATTGCAACAACATTCGCTCAATTTGACCAGACAACTTATGTGCTGAGCTACACAACTCATGCAAGAAGACAGTCACTTTGGAAGATACCCACTTGATCTGGTGAACTTAAATTTATATCATCTTAAATGAAACTTTTAAATGTATTTTTACACAAAATGAGGATGGTGGATTTTGTCACTTAAATTTGTGTTGAGATATGATCTTTTCACAACCAGTGGAGAGAAAAGGAACCTTTTAAATGACCAAGAACTCTTTCAGTATGGTGTGACAGTTTTTTTTTAAAGACCGATTGGGGGGAGGGGAAGAAAATCCACTGTTAATGGCAAGATAACGTCACATTTTATACTACATCTCAATGTCAGGTCTTTAAATTGATTAATCTGTATCACTGCAACAGGCATTTTTCACTATAATGCCTGTTGCAACTTTTTAAAAACCCAAAGTGATGCATTCAGATTTGCTCATCTAACTCCAAAAATTTCAGTTTACTGTTACAGAGACAAAGGCCTTACAACTGAGAAGCTGTGATATTTCTGCTCAGACAATTCATCAGTTGACTTTTTTTCCCCTCATTTAAAATCTGTGGCTACTACCACCAGCCATATTCAGTCTGACAATAATAAGCAAAACCCTGATTCTCAAATAACCCCATACAAAAAACCAGTTCTTGTACATAAAAGTAGCATTACATGTTGGTGCATGTAAACATACTGTTATTTTACACAGGGACCAAGGTAAACGGGTTGCATTGAAGTGCTACGAGCTCTTTCATTGGCACACAAGGAGTACCATTTACAGTATATCTGAGGTTAAATAATCAGCTATCATGCGTTTCCTAAAAATTTGTTGCTGTGCATGTGTGGAAATTCTATTTATGGTTCAGCAAAAAGAACAGTTTCACACAGCATTCCCTTAGTTTCATGTATTAAATACTCTAGAATGTATGATGGGTTGTTACTGTACAGGATGCATGAGCTGTAAGAACTGATAGGAAGCATTTAGTTAATGTAAACTTAAAAAAAATGCTACTGAAGGTTCTCCAACAGAAGTCGTACTATAGCTGTTGGAGCAATCCTGAGTGGGATCCCAAACCTGACACACTTATTGAATAAAATGAGGCAGATAGAAAAAGTGATTGTTTCAGAAATACTACTTAAACTACAAAATAAATGTGACATGAGGCGGTGACAGATTTTGGGTGACGAACTGGCCAAGAGAGCTGTGTATTTGCTGCAGGACCTCAGATGATGAGGTATTCTTCTGACATCATTCTCTCCCTTTGGTTCCTCAGGTACTCAACCCTGTGTCTGTGAGATAGAGGGAGGTGGGCAGGTGAGCTGTGAAGTTCCTCTGGAAGTTGCAGGGACGGTGGTACGTTTAGGTCCGTACCCAGCTGACAGGTACCCAGAAGGACTCCTGCTCCAGACTTTCCAAGATCCCTTGCAGTTCTGCACACGCACTGGCTGAGTCCTCCTTGATAAGGACCCTGTCCACCAGGTGTCCATACTGCTGATCGATCTGGAGGGCAGACTGACGCATCTCCTGCAGGTCCTCGTCCTGTTGCAGAAAGTATTGATTGATACAGGGAGAGACAGATGCTGACAGATTCATCCTAGTTTTGTCCCAGTAGACCTTTTTCATATTTTGACTTGTCATGGTAGGAAAAAACCCAGGTGATGGCTGCATTCCATTTACGTGAGCCATTTCTAGGATCATGGTATTGTGCATGCTTGCTGAATGGCATTGTTTAGTGGGAACCTTAATGGAACTAATCAACCATTAATGTTAGCTACAACTCTGCTTTTTCTACTGCGACAAAGCCGTGGCTGCTGTGAAGGAGGTCTATGAGTGGGGGGTAGCCAGTTTTGGTCCTGCTGGTTTTCCAACTATCCCTGCCATATCTACTGCTGATTACCTGGGGTCAGGTTTGCTCATTCAGAAGCTGGAGGATACCAGTTCACTACAGTTCACTTTATCTCCCTGTATTGTTATAATAAAATGTCTTTAAAAAAAAAAGTTGTTTAAACTTGATTTATTTATAGGGCCACACTGAAGAAAATTAAAATATGAGATTAAAGTTGTAATTTTATTAGATGAACAAACTTCGTCTAACCTATTTAGAGTATAGGACACTACCGCCTGCATCAAAATAAGCTGCTCCACATTTTAATGCAGGCTGTAGTGTCATGTAGACTAAATAGGCTAAAGCCAATGATCTCATTTACCTAACACAATTACAACTTTGAACTCTTTAATACTGACATTTCTTCAATGCGGCCCTAATAGCTATAGGTTAATCCTTGAAAGACAACTTCCTATCTTCTTACACAGCTCAGTCTGTTTGCTAGAAAGAATTAGTAACACATAGTTTAGATGTGATGACCCTAAATGGGTTTGTATCTGTTTTGTTTGTAATTTCTGTACTTTAGCAGATATAAACTTCATTGAAAGCTCAGTCCCTAAAGGCTAATTCAAATTATGTTGTCTGTTCACCATACCTCATATCAAACTTCATTCAGTAACACATTCATTTTGTGTATTGGACCTTTTCATGCATGTCTTAGGAGAGAAATTATCTAGGTTTCTAAGGTGGAATTCTGCTTTATTGAAAAGTTATTTATGGAAAAAGGACTATGAAGGTTAGGTTCTGTATTTACATTAACTATCCATGTTTTACCCAAGTCAAACCCTGTTGACTATAAGGTTTTAACAGATGCGCCTTAAGCATTATGTGCATAGTTTTTACCTTCGGCCAGCTTGGACTGAGTGTGTCAGCAATGAAGATGGTAATTACTGTACCAATATTCTCCTGTGGGTGTGCTTGTAATGGCCTCAAAGGATTTGGAGAACTCTATCTTTATAATCTAATGCTAAATGGAGTTAAACTAACTTCACAAATGTTGACACCATGCATGAAAGTGTTAAAAAAAATATTTTCAAGGAAATCTTTGATTTTTATCCTGACTAAGCAGCTGGAACCTTGTAATTCCACATTAAGCATGATGTAATCCTAATACTGAGGGCCTTCTGAATTCCCTTTGAAAAGCACTTGAGGGATCCAGCCACTGACCTGGGACACAGATAAGACAGGACTCACTGTGATGCGACCATGTTCTCCCCCTCCTGGAGAGGTGCCGGCACTGCGGCGACGTCTGCTCTCAGGAACTCGAGGTTTGACAAATATGACATAGGGCTTGAACTCTGCAGTCCGCAGCCTCTTCAGGGCCTGGAGGGTTTATATACAACAGAGTAAACAGGTCAGAAAGCACACACAATAGTACAAAGTCAACAGTGATATATCAAACTTTCCACACACGAGTAGATATGAACTGCCTGTTGTCTACTCAGCGCTGCTGCCTGAATCTAACTCGTATCACATGATAGTGGATATGATACTTCACCAACACTAAACAAGATGCAATGAGAGGCTGTGATATGACTCCTACCTCAGGCTGCACATCTACTATACACATCTTATTTTTGGCCTGTATAGAGCGGATAGCCTCTATACTGGTGCCATACTGGTTTTCCTTGTATTCCCCATGCTCTATGAACCTGAGAAACAAAGTAAAAGACCTTTACTTCTACAGGAAATCATACATTTACACACACACACAACATGGTATCAGTGTAAACCTACTTGTTGTTCAAAATGTCTGCATCAAATTGCTGTTTGGTGACAAAGTGGTACTCCACCCCATCCTTCTCATGAGGTTTCTTGGGCCTAGTTGTATCTGTGGGAACATAAATGACAAGTTTAGATGCATGTGTTTACCCAGTGTTGAGTGATGTTCACCAACAAGCACAGTATAGAGTTTAAGAATCACTCACGTGGTACAGCCACTGCGTAGCAATGTGGGTTTTCAGCAATGACCCGCTGTTTGAGTTCATTGATTCGAGCCCCAAGAGAACCTTTGGAAGGCAAATGTGTGTTTAACAAAATAGTTAAAATCATCACTACAAACCCGTGAGTAACAGGTATTCAATAGGTTGTAACATGCTTTAATCCACTAGGTGCCACTCTCATCACAGGAAAACGAAGCATTTAATGGAGCTCAGTCTTACCTATCAGAACCACCAGACGGGGTCTCTCACTAGGCCTCTGCTGGTAGCGGGTCACCTCCTCATAGGTCAGGAACTCCGAGGCGCCAGGATCAGAGCACTCTCCTGATGATCCCTGTCTGTCCTTACGACTCAGCCGGAAACTCCTCCGTAAACCAGCTACAGTGAGGCCAGAGATGGGAGGGAAGGAGGGGCACAAAACAAAGGTGTTGGGTCAGAAGTCAGGAGCCATAAGATTTACTTGAGTGCACATCATGTGAGTACACTACACTTCTATAATGCCAACATAAGATATAGTTTTGCATTAAAAAAAAAAATAGTGCAGTGAGCAAACATGTTTTGAGTAATTCAACCCACTGATAATCATGCAACAAAAAACATTTGGGAACAGTGCACATAGATGAAAATAACTTGCACTTATCTGAAGTATAAATACTTGATGTTAGCTGAATCAGACATCGTGCTTAAAATAAAAACTAGATCACATGCATGGTACTAAATGTTCCTAAAGATTACAACAATTAAGCAAAAAACACACTTTATATATTTTTTTCTTCTTCAACTGTTCAGAACAAACTTTAGTGACCCAAGGTAGATGTTTTCTAACATTATGTTCCAAACAAGGCATGCTGCTTTGAACAAGGCTACAGTGCTGAGGCAGGATAGATAGAACAGCCTGGCCCTGGGAAACAGCAAATCATCAACAAATGAGGATCTCCCATGACCAGGATTGTTTGTAAACTGCCCCCCCAACAGTGTTGTGTACCCTCAGGAATGAGCCGTGCACTGTACCTGAATAAAATTCCCAGGAAAACACCTGGCCACAGGAGGGCGCCACTGCTTTACACTTAGGAGAGACTATAACTGGCGTTAGAGCATCACACAACCCAGCCTCAAACCTCCACACAGGGTGAACGAGCAGCAAATGTGCCTGGTTGAGTGTGCAATGCGTCCAACGTAGCAGGGCTCATGTGGGGGGCAGGAAGGGGTGTTTTGGGAAAGGGGAAAGCAGTGCACTGGCCACAGCAGTAGATGCGAGGGAAGGAGGAGGGAGGTTTAGGAGGATCCAAACACTGCTGGATGGAGGGGATGGTGGAGGGATGGTAAAGAGGAGGGCTGTACAGCTCAAAGCAGACTATGTAAATGTTCTCCCTTTGCTCGCTGTCATTCCAGCAGCTTGCAGGATGTGGGGAAGCAAATGGGGGTTAAGCTGAAGACAAGTGAGGGAGGGGAGGTTCAGTGTAAGTCTAGAGAGGGTTGAAGGACAAAGGTACTCTCTCCACCCAAGTATGAATTCAATCAAGCCTTTTAATACAACATAAACCTATTTAAATTAAGTACCAACATTTTACCACAATTATTGTAATATTTGGCCATGTTTTATTGAAAACACTATTTTATGGATCTAGAATTTCCTACAAAATTTCACAGGAGGAACTATGTAGTTTATAGAAACATTTGGCAGTGTTGGTATACTTCCAGTTAAATCACTCAATTCATTGTTTGTATTTTTTTTTTTTTTTTGGCCAGTGCACTGCAGGCCACCTGCAAAACCTGTCTACAGACAAGAGTACAAACCAAGATATACTGTATTAAGACTAAAGTTTTCAATAACTAATGAAATGGGGGCATTATTTAAATGAAATCCCTCTGGCTATCAATAACTGCTTATACATTCAGTACAACAAATAACAAAACAGGTGGACCTATAAAATAAAGTGCCACTGTTATATTTCTCAAGTTTGTATGTTCCTAATTATTTACAAGAAAGAGTCCTGGAAAGAACTGTAATTTGGTATGAAATGAGAAATCGGAAAAATGACTTGCATTTTGTTTTCTATGAATAGTATCAAGTTACAGTTCTTTTTAGGATGTTGTCATGAGAATTAGGAAATCACAGACTCAAAACCAGTGCAAATTCTGTGCCAACTAAATAATCCTTTCATCTGCATTTCTTCCTTTTGCCCAAAAAAACTGACTCGTCATCCATCTTTCTGAGTTCCTTCCTCTCGCCCTGACTTTGACCCCCTCTCTCCAACTTTCAGAACCTTCCTCTTATCCCTTGACCCCGGCCTCAGACACGTCAGCCCTATAAGCAGTCAGTCTGAACCCCGACGCAAAAGCAACTAGGAAACCAGCGTACAGCAGGGCTGTAACAGGCAAAGAGCAGAGAGGGAGAAGGAGGTGGAGAAAGATGTGCACACTCTCACCTATGTACTGTCCATTGAAATAGCCCTCACAGTCACAGTCCTCTGTAGGGAGGCAAGCAGGGAAAAGATGGGGTAAGCACAAGGTAAGAGACTTGGAAGAGTTTTAAGGAGCTAGGAAGGTGGGGATGTTAAAGGAGGAGGGGGGCAGGTTGGCCATGGGCTCTGAAGAGGGCAGGCAGGACCAACAGGCAGCAGGCAGATCAGACAGCTGGAGGTGAGAGTGGAGGGGCGGCCAAAAGATAATGAAGGAACACTGTCGGAGCCACTGACAAAGACTAGATGATGGGAGGAGAGGAGACCATGGCCCTCCTTCATCTGGAAAGGAGCCCGCTGTGAGAAAAGTCTCTGTGACCCACACACATGGAAACAAAAGCTTGGCCTCCCCAAAAATACACAGCTGAGGTAATATACAAAAGCCTTCAAATCCATTCTTCCAAAACAAAAAAAAAGCATTTTCACTCATCTTTTAACACATTTTAACATTTCAAATTTACAAAGATTTTAGAAAAAAGGTCAAGGAGAAAAAACTGCAGAAAACATTAAAACAGTCAAGATGCAGCAGAGTGGAAGATGAACAGAAGAACTAAATATAATGTGACTGAAGGTGATGCAAAGCAAACAAGAAGCTCCTGTTATCTTTAACATCCTCTGCTTGGTTTGGACTGAAGTCTCCAGGGATGCTGTTCTGCCTGTGCATCACCTGGTACAATGAACAGACACAATATTCTGGTCTTGGTAACAGTAGGAGAGACTCGTAGAAATCCCAAATGCACGCAACACCACTAACACACATGCAAGCTTTCTGCACACTCATACAGACACACACTGAGGATTTGAGGCCTCTGAACAGTTTTGCTACTGTGTGTTTTGTATGTGGATGTTTCTTTGTTTCTGTCTTATTGTTATGTTTACAGCTGCACACATTTACTCACCTTTATCACATCCTTGGTCATCTGGTACAATATGCAACAAGGAAGAACAAAGTGTAAAACATTACTACAGTAGGTAAAGGACAGGTCATTTTGTGTAGGTGACAGATAAAAGAACATAATATGGAAATAACTGAAGTGAGGATTTGTACATTTTACATGTAGAAAGATTCTTTTTTTTGCCATCACTGACATCACAGGCAAAGCTCTCATTTAAGGAGCCCAGCTGGGATATGGGGGAATTAATCAGAGAGCTGGAGGAGCATGAAGGGGAGGCCGAGACAGAAGAGACCCTGCAGGCTTGCTGCTGCATGGTGTAGCAGCACCAGCTGCCATATTGCTAAGCTCTTGTTGTCTCCCTGTGGCTCAGGCCTAATTGGATCTTGTGCAGCTTATGTGTCACAAAGAGCCACCACTCCTATTACCCACTCACCTGACTATTTACATGTCCCTCTGTAGTGTCAAGTGAGAAAGTGAGAAGCGCAATACATTGCTAAGGCTTAGTTTCTCAGCGGGCGCCTGTTGTAACACTGTCTGGATCGACTTAAGCCCAACTCTCAGCCTGCTCAATGGGCAGATGGTGCAAACATGAAAGAGATTAATTCCTACAGTATCTGTGATCCCTCCTCTGTGTCTGTGCCCCTCCATCTCTGCCATCCCTTTAAAAAAATCTACTCTACACAGGAGCATGAAGAGGGCAGGAGGTGACCACTAATAACTCCGAGAACAGCACTTGGCAGCAAAAAAGGTAAATAAATGTAAACATCACTGCATTTACCCAGTTGAGGAAATATTATGATGCTATGACAGTGTAATGACATTAACTGCATTTACAAAATGATGCAGTGGAATCCTGGGAAGCAGAAACTTACAGACAGGCTTTTTAGGGGATTTTGGATTCGGGAGTGTGCCCATTTTCATCCTGTAGGCCAATCGCCTGGAGGAATGTGCAGCAAGACAAAGAACCAGAAAAGATGGAGGAAAGAGGTCAGGTCAGAAATAAACAGGAAGAAAGTGCAAAGGAGGAAATGTCAAAGAAGTGGAATAAAGGTACATAAAACACACATGCACAAATTATGAGACAGTGGGTCCCCCGCTCTCCTTCACAGTGCCTTGCAAAAAATTATTTGTAAAAAAAATCTTGAACACCACGTATCATTTTCCTTCCACTTCACAATTATGTAATACTCTGTGTTGGTCTATCACATAAAATCCCAATAAGATACATTTAGGTTTGTGCTTGTAACATGACAAAATGTGGATAAATTCAAGGGGTATGAAAACCTTTGCAAGGCACTGTATGTCCCTCTTTGTGTTACAGTATTATAGAGAAAAACAGATAAAACCAGTCATTTTTACTCTGTTTTATGTCTTTGTGATCACTGTGTGTCTCTGTGTTTCACTTCTAGCCTCTTGTTTCGGTGGGCCTGTGCATTTTAGTCACATTCAGTAATCCACGCATGACAATAAGCTGACCTATCTTATATTCCTTTTGTTCAGTCAGGTCAATACTTTTAAAGACGTTTCTCTTTCATTTCAACCCAGACCTCAGATTGCAGCACATATTATCAACAGATTTGTTTCATTTCATTATGGATCTACAAAACCATTTAGGCGCTGCAGAGCTCAGTTACCTGTCTGACCCGTGTCTTTCTAGCTGTGTTTAATCCAACAGATGCTGCCATGTTCGGCAGGGATCTCACAGCCTGCTGAGATCATCTTACTGACAGATTATAACACCTGCACTATCTGCACACACCTATTCAAGGCCGGGTTCCCATTAATTTTTTTCCCATGATGCTCCATCTAATCACAGTTGACCCCTCAAAGTGGAACATATGAATATGGATTTAAAAGATTACAAATGGCTGGATAAAGTAAATATTGGCCATGTGTGGGTCAATCATTAGCCCCAGCTCACAGGAAGCAACACAAGTTCATTGTTAGTGTACAGATGCATGATTTGACCCCACCTCATCCCATGTGCTCTCACCTCTCTTGGAATTGCTTTGAGGGGATGAGTCCGGCCCGCAGGTTGCTGTCTCCTACACGTTTGGCCTGCCACCACGTGGAGTCATCCTGACTCACGACCTGCAGAATGTCTCCCCGCTTAAAGGGCAGTCCCGCCTCTTGGCAGGGTGTGGCCTTGTCTTCCAAGGGGATGTAGTCAAACAAGGCTCTCATATACACCTAGAATCAAATACACAGGCTTTGTGACAGCTGTGCAAAGCAAAAGGCATCATGTGTTGATATGCAGCCTGCTATTGTAAATAAACACAGACAAAGCTGTTTATCTAACTACTTTGCCAAAAGGTCACATGAAATCTTTCATGAAGGCTCACAAGTACATGGTGAGGATCTGAATATGAGCTATTTTTAATTAGCTCTTTATACTTAAAAAAAAAACAACTATCTGGAATGACAGTAGAATGTAACAAACAAAAGACTACAATTTTTTTCATTCAAATAAACCCAGAATAAAGTGTAGACACCAAGAGCCTGCTCAGTCATTCCCGCTTCATCTCACCTTACTCTCCTTCAGCCGGTCCTCTTCTTTAATGGCAGGGATTATCTTTAAAGTGATGGAGCCCTGGGACTGGGACTAGATCACAAGTAGACAAGAATAGCCTGATTGCTTAGTTTTACTTCAACTGAATTCAGTTCCTGAAAATTCGATCTACATCATATAAATACCAGCATTATGGATATTTAAGTTTTCCAAAGATTCCTCTTTTGACACAAGCAAGCCGATTTTCATTTGTTATCTCACGCATACATATATGCACCACTTTAGAAAATGTGATTATAAAATTGCAACTGTAGACTAAACTGTGAACACGGTTTAGATGACTGTTAGAGTTTCAGTAAATCTATATTGGATCATTCAAAAATAGATGTTTTTAAATCAAAAACTGTTCTCTATTAAATCACTTTTGACAATTTCCTTTTTTGTACGCATTTTTGGTGTGTTAACAATTTACAGTATGACTTTAAATCTACACTGAAGCTAGAATACAGTCTGTCTTACCAGCAGTTGACTGATCTCATCAGGTCTCTTGTGGATCACAGAGACCCCATTGACCTCCCTAAGTTCATCTCCTACATGAACCAGACCTGTGAGGGGCAGAGGTAGTACGAAGACTGAGTAGACAGAAACATCAATAACAATCAAAGAGGCTTTTCAGATCATCCTGGGTCTTTGCCACCTATCGTATTTTAACATCAGCTTGGTCATCAGATCCACTGATACAGGCTGCTTCTATGCTCAGCTGTGATCTGTTTAGCTGCAGCCTCAACAATGGCACCAAAGTGAGATCAACATGCTTTTTCCTCAAGACAGAGAAGCACAAAGCAGACACACTATGGTGCAATCATATAATGTACGATATGCATTTGACAGACATACACAGAGGCTTGAGGCTCATTCTGAAATCTCTCTACAACATCTCTCTACACACTGACAAGAGATGTTTCCATCACTTGGCACAGTGAGAAAACAGAGGACATTAATGATTAATGCACATGGACATTGCTTGGTTCTCTCTCCCAGCTTGCATGTTTCTAATGCCAAATTCTCTCTCTCACACACACATACCTGCATGTGGCTAATATTTCCATGGTAACATCCATAAAAGGGTCTTTGCTGAGTCTATATCATGCGTAATTGATTCTCTGGGGACTCATGGAGAGCTCTGGGTTTCTGCACTATCCCTCTCATTTTTCTTCTGCTGCTGTTTCTGTGATGTATCTGTCACACTGTGGTTTTCATCTCACTCTCAGAGTACCAGGCTTTGATTTGTTATTTCATAAGATATGCAAAACAGCTTCTCTCATTTTTACTGGTAAGAAGACAAATGCTCTCATAGTGCTGTAAAAACCTATAGTTTCTCGGGGTGGCCCCATGACTCCGCCTGCCTCAGGGCTGCACTACATTACTGCAATGTCCTGGCTCACATCCATGCTGCAAACCTCTTTGCATGATTCTTTTGTTTCTTTAGCTATTAATCGGCAGTAACATTTAAGAAAAAAAGGCACCTTTCAAAATTAGCAATGCTAATATTGTATTTGCTCCACCAGAATCACATACACTATCCCTCACTATTCCAGCCCAAGGTTGGGAACTACAGGTGCTGGTAGAGTAGTGGTGTGAAGCCCAGAGTGACAAGAGGAGAGACAAATCACAGTTTACCACTGCGGTCAGCTGCACCTCCCCTCATAATCCGAGCCACAATCACTGCACCGGTGGCTTCATCCCGCCTGATGGTGGCTCCCTGGAGTACATACAAAGGAATGGAATCGTTAACAGAGCAAAAGTCTCAGTTCCATTAGATTCTCCCTTGGGCTCTTATGTTTTTATCGCCACCGTCATGCCTCACCAGAGGCTCCTTGTTCTTCACCAGCCTGACGATCTTCACTGACTCTTCCTCTAGCTCATCCTCAAAGTCATCTGGTAGTGGCGGCAGCACAGGGTCAAAGTTCTTCTGAGCCACAGTGTCGTGCACCGACAGGACAGCCTGATGGGACGGAGCACAGACAGTTTACAATGCAAACACTGAGCTGCTGGGGTGCACACAGAGCTGACTCCTGTCTGACCATCTGTAAACAGCTCTAGATTTATTTAGTCTGATGTTAGAGCAAATGAAATCTCAGAATAAGAAAGAACAGATGTATAGATGTTCAATGATTTCTACTTGATCAGTAAGTTTTGTTGCATTCTATTTTTATAGGAACAAATATCTGAAGAGCTGGACAGAGCCTGGCGGAGCATAGCAGATTGTAGTCGAGTATAGTGGAGCAGGGAGAGGGAGCCCAGGGCGGAGTAAAGTGGATTGACTTTGGAGTTTTATCTAGCACAAAACTCCAAAATCAATCCACTTTGCTGCCTTAAGTTACAAACTGTAGCTTTAATTAAAAAACAACTTGCCATTAAATGTAATCCTGCCAGTAATTGCATTGCCACAACAGTGTAACTGAGAAAAAGATTTAAAGTGTGTTAACCTTGAGATGTGGTGATGTCAACAGATGCAGCAACTCCTTCTCCTCGCTGCTCATTGGTCCACTCTGAAGCTCCTCTGCCACCTGCCAGTCACAAAAAACACAAGCCCTGACCTAGTATGAACCTGTGCCATGTGTATACCGGTAAGGCACGCTGCAGTTTATTGAACAGTAAACGCAGACCAATACATAGACACGCACAAGGGGAAGATAAGTGGGGAGCAGCTAAGGTCAGCAGTTTCCCTCGCTGATGACTGGTGGGAGTGAGAGAGCAGCAGGATATGGAGTTTCATTAGATGAGCATCAGGATGAATCAGCACTTTGAGGACATTAAAATTCACTTTTGATACCTGCAGTGCTTCTCTGTCAGAGCTAACTCACTGTGACTGACTGCTGTGCCCAACCGGAAAAGTAATTTAGGGTGTATGTGTATGTGATGAACTTACATCCTCAGCCAGAGAGGAGGCACTGTGGAGGACAGGCGTTGGACTCTGTCTCTCATACTGTCTCAGCTTCTCATGAATCTGTAACACAAACACATTTAGCTTATTTGAAGAGAAAATTTCAGAGTTTTGGGAAAAGCTAAATTTCAGCATCAACAATCCTGAAGTTAGGTTTGTAGTCAGAAGAACCCTAAAGTCAGTGGAAGTCATCCTTTGGGACCCACAAATGTTTGTACAAAATCTCAGCCACAGAAATTTCAGTCTGGACCCAAGCGGTAGATTAACCAACTGTACCCACAATGCCAGAGTGAACAGCTTCATCAACTCTGCACATTTTCTGAATTTTGTAAGAACAGAAAATGTTTAGAAATTTCACTTTGTCTATATCCTGAGTTGCATGACAGCAGACATAGTGACAGAGACTAATGAGCTCTGTGCCATATTTTCTTTAAGTGCTATACTATAGAAAATAGTAAGAACAACATAAAATCTAAACAAAAATCAGCATTCTATACATTAATTCTTTTCTGCACTAAAGCACATGGGTCTTGGCATTTTTTTTAAAGCTTTTTGAGATTTTCTTTCTAATTAACAAACAATAAGTCTGAAAAAAACCTTCCCTGTTCAGCTAAATTAATCAAATATCTTGAAGTACTAGGATCTAGATTTCTATGGCACCAGATTGATGACTTTAATCTATGGCACTGAAAAATAAAGTCTAGCATTGAAAACTAAATGGTAACTGAAAAAGCAAACATTGTCACTGAAAAAAATGGCATTTAAAATGTTTAATACTGGAAAATTGACAGTCTTCTGATTTTTTCTTAACCTAAATCTCTTTCAATGCTAAAGTAATTTTTTTTCCAGTGACAATCTTTTTTTTTGTGTGGATGTCAGTGTTTTTCAATGCCCAAGTCTTTTCTTTCAGTTTTACTGTGGAAGCCCATTTCTGCCGGTACAAGAAAAAAAAAAGGCTTACTATGTCAAAATTATGAGATAAAAGACAAAATTTTGACTTGCTATGTCAAAATTATTATAAGTAGTCAAAATTATAAAATAAATAAACATAAACTACTGTACTTTTGTTCAGAGCTAGTGATACTGTAGGCTTTAGCATAAGCTCCAGAACAGCTAGCTAACCTGCAGAGCAGATGGGAAACTGGTTGGCGTTTTCACAAAATTAATTGTGCAAATAAACAATAGGCTATATACAATATCACCATCAGAACATAGGTGTTTATGGCACATTTGTCAAGCATTATTGTAGCTACTGTAATGGAAATATAAACACTCATGCTGTCTATGTATTTGTACTGCTTAAACTTATGTCTCGCTTTTAGTCTCCCAGCTGTTCCACACAGGATCAGTTTCTACACACACATATGCCACTTCACACGTACACTCACAGCCAGTCAACTGCTACACACAAACACATAGCCTGTTGCTTACATAACCTAACTGTCTGGGCCCAGCTGCCTAATCTTGAAAGATACATATTGAAGGCCACATACCTAAAGCACTTTTCTGATTGGTTCCAGCTAATGGCGTGATTGCTGACCAGTGCTATGCAAAGCTTGACTGTTACTTCTTTCTTTTGGCACTCACTGACCCTTTGCTCTGGGTGACCTCTTGATCGATCAAGATCAAAGATTTTTATTGTCAGTTCACTATATATGCAGGACATACAGAAAATCGAAATACCATTTCTCTCACCTAGTATTGAATGCCATACCATTTAAGAAACTAAAATATAAGAATAAAAGTAGAATGAAATAGAATAAGAAAACTAAATGAATTAGGATAAAACTAAACAGTACAACCTAATAGGCTATGACTCAAAACCATGTACAATCAGCTAGAGTAGTGCACATAATAAGAAGACTGTCAGATGGTTAGCATCACCAGGGGTGTTGGTGATGAGGTGCATATGAGATGCACATGATACTGGTATTGTGCTTATGCTATTGTCTGATTGCTTAATAAGCCCCACAAAGACAACTTGAAAGCCTCTTTATTGATTTCCACAACAGCTCAGGAGTTCTTTGGAGAATTGGTGTAAGGGTAGCAGTCTTGTAGTGACACTATTGCAGCTAACAGTCAAGTACTCAAATCCATTCTAGTCACTGTGAAAGGCTGCCATCTGGTGGCCAAAATTCTGCTACTACAACAAAACCAAACAGGTCAAAGCAAGACCAGCAGCGACATTGCAGTTTTCCTACAAAACCACTGATTAAAGATCATGAAATTGCAGTTGTTTAATATTTATAAAAAAAATATCTATAGGCTAATATTCTACCTGGTTAAGGAGCTCATGTTAAGGCCAGGAAGGTAATGGAGGATGTCTGGGTGGATATTGTACTTTTTATCTCATAATTTTGACTTTGTAAGTTGAAATTTTGGCCACATAGTTACTGCAGTGGCTTCCCTGAATTCAGCTGGAGCTCTGCTCTGTGTTTCTCTCTATTGGCGTCTTTACTCATAGAACTGAGCTACATTAAAGCTCACTTTTAACTAACATTATGCTGGTGTGGCAGAGGCCTACTGTAGCAAGTGCTAATGTCAGCTACAGGTAGGCTACAGCTAATGTTAGCTGCAACTAACATCAGCAGTGCACAGCTGCTTAGAGACTTTCTGTGGGATCTTCCGGGACCGTCTGCCACACAGTAATGTTAGATGACACCGTGTTGAAGAGGGCTGATGAATTGTAAAACACTGACATTGATGGACAAAAAAATCAAAAGGTCATCATTTTGTGGATGAATTCATTGTTGATTACCTAAAACAGTACAGTTCTTACAACGATAAACCCATCAGCTATATTGTTTTGATTTTAAACCTTAAGAGCCTGTAGGCCTAGAGACTGTAAATGCTAATAAGAAGTTTTATTACTCCAAGATTTCTCTACTTAAAGTATTTTGGATGGTGCTACATATGATGTTAGTATCATTTAAGGATTTCAGAAAACTGACACTGCAGTGGCTAAACCTTCCTGGAAAGCAACTTCTTGTTATCATCAAAGTAATGACTGCTGTCTCTAAGAGGCCAAGGCAGAGAAAGTATGAAGCAGGTACATCCTTAATTCTTAGAGAAGAGGTCAGGTGGATCACTGGGGACAGGACAGAAAAGTGTTGTGTTTTGACACAGGAGGCATTGTGTTCACATCCTATGTCATACAAACAGTCCATTATATTGTCTTGACATTATCCTAGTTGTTTTAGTTGTCTAACCCTTATTAGACTTATTAGACCCACTAGAGAATTTATAGTTCAGAAATCAGTGTATAATTTCTTCAACAGTAACTTGTAACAGGTTTGAAAAGCAGTGACAAATGTCCTTCTGCAAGGTGCAATAGAATCTCACCAACAGGCCAGATTACAAAATAAAGATCCACAGTTTCACGACTTTATTTGAAGACAATCAGATCTCAACTTCCTCTTTCAAAGAAACTCTGTTGTGGGCACAATTCAAAATACATCCACAAACATAACACACAGGTTTCTTAAATCTACAAACATTTAAATATTGATGCGACTCACTCACCTTCATGAGATATCCCAAGCTTCTCTCACTGAAGACGTCTTTGAGGAACACCATGTCCTCCTTATGATTGGCATCAGGCCGCAGCTGAGAGGTCAGCAGGGCCAACGTTTCATGTAGCCCTAAAGAGGAGGAATGAGAAAACCACTGTGTATATTAACATGAACAGATGGAGCACAGCTAGCTTCCAGCAGTACGGGCAGTACGTGTGGAGCATCTGTGCCAACTCGTCTCACCTGCTCCTGCTGTGAGGACCGGCATGGCTTCTTTCATGGGTCAGTGAGGTGAGGAGGGCAAACCTGGCAGGGAGAGGAGGACAGAGATCATAATAACAATTCCTCTCATTTTCACACAGACATTTTGCTGTTGCTTTGTTTCTGCGAGGATAGAAAAAATGTTTTGTGCTCTCACAAGTAAAAAAAAAAAAAAAAAAAGGGGGGGGAGGAGGAGGTAGTGGCATGTTTGTGTAACAAGTAGGCCTGATGTATAGGCACCTAGAGACCGATGTGCAGTAATTATAGCCCTACATCATCTCTCTCTAGGCTTCAAGATATAAATATCTTCCATTTTGTATGGCAGTTACCTCATCTGTGAATGTGTAGGTGTGTATGCATAAGTCTGCTTGTATTAGAGAGTCATATTTGTAAGATAAACTGACACTGTTGGTACTATTAATCACGCTGATTCTCACCAGGCCCTCTCAGCTTTGTGTTGGTGTGTGAGAGCAGGAGAGTGGGACAAACTGGCATGAATAACTAAAGCAGTGTGTTGTGTCATAAGTGATTGAAAAGCTACAGAGGAACACTGTATACTCCCATATACTGTAACTCCTAATTAATCTGTAGAAAGCTATATTTGAATTTCACATACACAATGTAGTATACACAGTATTTGCTGTGCAGTAAACCTGTCTCTACCTATGCAAGTTACTTGTGAAATATGCACTTATATCCATTAGAGGGGAACAACAACTCCAGCCGTAAACCTATCTGTGCATTTACATCATAGAAAGAATAAAACATAGCAAAAACATCCTTTAAAGTCTCTTAAATCTCATTTTGAACATGCATGGTTTATTTTCGATTTTAAAAAAGTAATTGAAAGGTCATTTTTGCCAAATAGTTGCAGTGCCACTACAGTTTTGTTTTACAGTTCTTAGTATTTTGACTAAAAACAGGACAAAGTAGATGAGTAAACTGGTATAAAAATAATCATTATTGGAAATAACATAAACCGAAGTGAAGTTTGTTTAAAAAGCAATTTAAGACATTTACTTTAAGGCTTCCACAGGAGGCTAAATGCAACTGTACTTTCTGAGGTTGCAGTTAGTGATGGTGTTGTACTGGACCACCTATACTCAAATGTGTTTCTAATATTCAACCCCCTTTTTTTTCTGCAAAGGATCAGAAACAGTATGATGCAGTCCAGTTTACCATCACAGCAAATACAACCTCAGTAATAAAATTACCTTACTACCTCTCTGACAAAAATGAATATTATCATATTTGTAAAGGTAGAATTTATGGCTGAGCTGTGTATTGAATCACATTAGATTTTACACATGTACCTAATAAAGTGGCCACTGAGTATATATATTCATATGAGAGTGACTCAGAGATGCAGTTGACCGCAGCACAGACCACAGGATTAACGCAGCCCCTACCGCTCAATATCCCTGTTGCTCCACTCAATATTCTACATACTTCCTCCCACTGGAAACAAGTCAATAACCTAAACCACAGACTCCATCATGTCACGCTATGATCCAATGACACAACAGCAGAAAAGTGCAGCAACGGCAAAACAGAACAACAGCGGCTATATCATAGCTGTTTTCACACAAGCTCAACTGAGCAATATCACTTGACCTTTGCCAAAACAGTTTGCATTTACAGCAACACTGATGACATTGTGGAGTAAGGAGGGGGAGTGTGTCAGCCTCCTTCCAGTGAGGCTTTATCTAGTTGTGTCATGAATACGGAGTAATTTAGAAGGTAAATAAACGTCTCCTTCATAAAGGAGGCATTTTAAAACTACATGACACAATCATCCACCACCTGTATATTTACTACAGGGAAATGCTGACAGTTCATAAAAAGGGCAGGGGCCCAGTTACTTAACCTTGTCAGTAGTAGGCTTGTCCACTTTGCGTTGTACTGGTAAACATAAATATTTAGTACAGGATTATTCATTTTAATGTGTCCATCCTCCCATTGAGGCCTGCAGCCATGATCTTTGGTAGTATCTAACTGCCTTGCACAGAGAGTGACAAGTTTATATCAAGAATTATTGCATATGAAAATGTCAAAAAAGAGACACTGAAGCTAAACATCCATCCACCAAACATCAAGATTACTTTTCTACACAAACACCATCTGAAGGAGACAACAGCATTAGGGCAACACTAAGCTAGTTTGTGAACTGTTAGCGCAGCATGCTAGCCTATGAACTAAAGTGCAGTCTGGAGAAACAGAAGTAAAGCATTGAGGTGAAGTAAACAAAAAAATTTTTTTGTTTTACCAAAAGACAAGCTTACACTCAGCAGCAAGATTGAATAAAGAAAGACCAAAGAGCTAAGCACGCGCACACACACACACACATCCACTCTACTATGACGCGCACACACACACATCCACTCTACTATGACCTAATGACTGTTGAGTTGCACCTGGACGATGATTGAACCAGGTGGTGTACAATCTCTGCAGTGGCAGCTAGAGGACAGGAGAGGAATTGCAGCTCTGGTGGCCACGTCCATGCTGTTGTCCACTAAAATAAAACTAGTTCTATCTGACAAACACCAACTCTCACCTGTGGGCTGCCGACACCAGAAATAAAGGAGAGAAAAACCATTGCTCTACTTATTTTGACAACACGGCAGAGACACACAGCAATCAGCTCATAAATAATGAACAGAGAGAATATTACATAGGGAGAAAGAGAGAGGAGATGACCAAGTCAAGCAGGAGCAGAACCTCACATACCTTGTACTTGTCACCAATATCAGTATCTCTAAGAACCGTTCAGAAACATTCTTTTCATCTCAATGAAAGCTTCTGTCTCAAAGCACATTTGTCCCCTTGCAGTCCAGCACTCTCACAGAGTTGACAGAGATCACTGTTGTTGCTCAGTCTGCAAGTCCAGATAAGATCATCCTCTATTACTCCCAAGGGGCAAATCTATGTGCAGCCAGTAGTACAGACACAGTCACCACAGCATCATCCACAAACACTAACAGGAAATAAATAGTGGCAATAGACCTGAGCTAGTATTTCTACTCTCTATATACGGCATCATGTTACACATACTGTGTAGTTGGATGTCTAATCTGTAGTTAGGGCTTCATATCTCAATACTACATGGGTTGTAGAGTGATGATTGTTGAAGACTATGCTATCTGACTCCAAGTTTGAATTCATAAACATTTCACAAAATGAGATTCAACTTTGTTGAAAAAATTATAGTGCCCTTGTCTTTTTCAAAGGCCTGTAATAGGGGGAAGAACAAGTGCATTGATGAAAGATTAACTACCTGAAAACTGCAGCCAAATGATCATTTTCAGAATAATTAAACAGGAGATGCATGAGCTACGTAGTGACGCGTGTTTACGATGAAGAGAAAGGCAGCAGTGGGAGTGACATCACTGGGGATAAAGTGAAGATGAAGTGAAACATGTCCACGTCCCAGTTCGTCCCCCAAACGTTATTGGTCAACGCAGCGCCTCTGCCAGATGATGTCATCATCCGGTGTGGTGTGGTGTGGGTGAACATAGCAAGAAGGTCACACACAGCTTCAATTAGAAGTTAGAAACTCCCTCATAGCTCAAGCACAAGGTCTGAAGAGACTCATGTGAAATCCTACAGGCGAGAAGCCAGTCAGTTGAGCTTGTGGCAAAACCTTTTGCATTGCTTGGATATTGTCTTTTACTGCATATGATAATTCATACTCAGAAAGCAGAACTGAAGTGACATTCATTACAAGACGATTACTTAAAACATTTCAAAATGCACCTGCAGTCTTTTATATTTTGTGACTTTCAGTCAAATAAAGGACTGTTTTTCCAGTCACATATTAGCCAATGAAGATGTTAAATTAGTCTCATCTCGTTCTTGTGAACCCAATATCGTATATCGTGTTGTCTCATGAGCTAAGTGTATCGTCACACCCCTATTTATGACTCAAAGAAAACCTGCACAAAAACTATATGTCCAAGTTCTTATAGCTAAACAGGTTTTCAAGAAGCACCAGACTCGCTTTCACATCACTGCAAAAGCACAACTGCATGTACAAAAATCACCCAATGTGACCCAGAAAGAGACTCAGACGTTACACATTTTACATTTTATCCCAGTGTATATGACGTTTTCAGTTCAAATCTAGTTAAGAGCTTAGCTACAGCTCACACAGACGTGACAATGGAGGCCCCAGTAAGGTCACTGAAAAAGCTCACAAGTCAGCTGATCACATTGTGATGAATGTATTCTGTGTTGTTTAGTCACACTTGAGGCGCTCATTCATTAACAGAAAAACAGTTTCTTTGACACAGTCACACAAGCTTGTCCAGAAGCTCTTTATTCGCCTGCTTTCAGTCACAAGCCCGAAGGTGTGACGTCAACAGGCTCAGCAGGACAGTGGAGTCAACTGCAGCGTTTTATCACAGTCTCTTTGAAGCTTCATCCGGTAAGACCTCACCCATAAGAGCTTCTGAAAACACTACAGAGCAGCTACAGCTACGCTAACACTGACAATGGTTGCAAAACCCAGAGATGGGAGAATTCTCAAAATAATATCCTCTTTGCAGTTATTTTGGCTCTTTTTGTGCTCATGTCGTGTATCTTTGTGGTCAATTTGCTTCAGTTTGTGTTCATCTTATGTCTTTTGTTATTGTTGTTGATTTGTATAATTTTGTTCTAGTAGTTGGTTGATCAACTTTACACCAAGAAATGTTAACAGTCTTTTCCTCACCACAGAGGTTCTAAGCCCACTTAATAGCTCCTCCATGATGCCAGGAGTGAATGCAAACAGATCCAACCAACCCAAAACCTGACTGTTTAACTGCATGAAAATAATAACAGCATGAAAACACACATGGGGTATGACGCATGGTATCAATGAAGGAGTACTTGAGCTCATCTGACAGGGCCGTGAGGGGATCTTGGGGAGTTATTGATGCACCGACTAATCATTTCAGCACTAGTTGCTTCTGCTACTGCTGCTATTTCATTTTTTATTTTCTATGAATACACAGTCATAAAAAAGGTCTTGAGACTTTCCTCACCACAAAACAACAGAAGTGATAGTTCTCACAACCACTTGTTTTTTAGACAAGTGATCTCTTCTGGTCATGCGGAAATGTTTTCAGAAAAAGTAGTCACTGTTTTCCATAGCGTTATTGTTGCGTTTTCATTCAGATGTATGTCACCATGCTGCTGCCTGTGCTGCTCGTCTTTGTTTATGTGGTACTAGACTATGCCCTACACCTCCACATCTCAGGATGTTACAACACAAAGCATTACACCTGGAGAGGCTATCTTGAAACCTGTGCGTGTACAGGCATCTATACCCCTGTCGAACATAACAGCTCTTAATGAAAATATATTTTCTCCTATGCTGTGAAAATGCATCAAGACATCAAAACAACAAATGCTTGGTTCAAGTTGTTTTGCCTTTCAGAAGGTTCACTTTGCCAGATGATGAGGGTCAACCCAGCTCTCTCAATCAGAGCTACCTGCTTTAACAATATGGTGGAGAATATTATTTCTATGAGTCTTGAAACAGTGAGAGCACATAATCTGAGCCAAGGACTGATGCCAGGAGCAGAAGGCTGGATGAGTATTTAGCACTGCAGCATGTAGAGAAGTGTGCGTACACACACACACACACACACACACTGGTGGCTGTTACTGTATATCAACATACGTGTCCACACACACAGCTGAGAGTGACCATATCTTGGCCAGTACATGATCGAGTATCTTGGCTTGACTCTTCACCACCTTGAGAAAGAACCACCACTCACATACAGCTAATCCACTGCCCTATAATGGGAGGCAACGCTAAGTATGCTTGGCCAGCATCCAATGCCTTTCACGCACATTTCACACACATTTCCCATACTCACCCACTCCATCATCTAATCCATCATCTAATCTCATGTCACAAGAGCTAGCAGAGGGTGTGGTCAGACAGAAACTTATCATTTTCAACATGGAGGGGAAACTACTGGTATTGACAGCTGACACACTCCTGCACTGTCACTAAATGCTACACCCACCCCCTCACTGCTACACAGCAAAGCATGGGCAGATGTCTATTATCGCTTTCTGTCTCTACTCCTCTTTCGTTCAGTCTTGTTATTCTTACTTCCTCATATCTGTGGAGTGTAATGCTGGTGCTCCTTCCCTCCCACCCTCTTTCTCTCTGCAGTGCTAGAGCTCTCCCTGCATACAGCAGCATGCCATCAGCTGGCAGACAGAGGAAGAAAAGGACAACACACGCTCAATAGCAGAGCATCCCTTATTCTGGCTGATACTTCCATCATCACACTGACAACAAAAAGGCGTTAAGCAGACAATGTGTACAAAAATGAGCAGCGTGTGCCTTCCTACCTTCTCTTTTCTCTCTGTATCTCCACCTCTCCCCCTCTCTGTGTTTGTGTCCCTCCTGACTGCAGCCACACGGTTTCTCACGCTCCGATTCCTCCTCCTGCTGCTTCCTTCTTTCTCTTCTGGCTGCTGCTCTCACAAACCTGCTACCGCTGAGTGTCTTCCCCCTTTCTGCCCCTCCCCTACCCTAACCACCTTCCTCCATTTACATCTCTAATACACTCTCCATCCACAGCATCCATGGATGGAAGATTCCATATGGGACAGATTTTGTAGTTTGCTTCCTGTGAGATGTTGTAGCCTCAATTTTTGCATCTTAAGTGCTAAGCTTCTGTTTTAATCTCTAGAAACTCAGAGAGCTGACTAACAACAATTATCACAGTTTTGAAGGTATTTCAGGAATTTGCTGCTTGAAGAAATGCTGCACAATAAGACATTGTTTGCTCATTTCTAAAGTTCAGACTAATCCAGAGAGTTAAGAACCATGCAAGAAAAAAATAACACCCCATTATTAATGACAATATACAAAGAAAAACTACATTAAAGTTGCACAAATCAATATTTTCATATTAAAAACATCAGTGACTGTGTAAAACGCAGGGCAACACCCACAGAGGTATAGCTTCCAAGTCTACAGTTGCCTTATTTTTATTTAGCCACCAAAGACACAGGAGTTGGTGAAGGCTAAAATAGATCTACAAAGAGAATGAATATTGAACTCCTATCTATAAGGTAATTAACATTTTTCCATGTCTGTACAATGGCACCTTTTTGCTAACACTGTCATCACCTCCTCCATCTGACAGCGCACTTGCTTATTAGGCCAAAAAACCTAATATTACTGCATTAATATGAAAGTTAAGAAGCATCTTGTCTTTTTGTATACTGGATGAAAGATTTAAGTTTTGTTTGTGCAAGCAGATATGCCCCTCCTTGATGTGGAGTTTGTTTAGATTAGGGAAGAGTTGCAACTTGGAAAATGGAATAAAAATCCTTATTATATAGTATAATACTTTTGATTAAAATGGCTCAGTGTTGGAACAACCTTTCTGGTGTTGTCAAAACCTCCCAGGGTTTTATGTTACAGAAAATGGAAGCCTAGCTGTGTCTCTGAATTAGTGAGCACACATGAGAAGCTCAAACTGGACCAACATTAGTCTACATTATTCTACAGTTCCTCTTATTTCTTGTAGTTTTTATTCTGCCTCGATTCCTCTCGCACATGCTGTGGTGGATAATTGTGAGCGATAGACTGCCTCTGAGAGAGACTGACCCTCCCCCTCCTCTCTAAGCTGAGCTGAAGCTGAGGCTGTGGCAGCCCACATCCAGCTATAGAGTGGCTGCTCGCTCTTTGTCTGCTTGCATGTAGCACACACAGCGGACACACAGCTTCTTAGCGACAGAGAACCCCCGTGCACACACACACACACACACACACCTTGTTCCCACCCCAACAATTCACATGGTAATTGTGGGTGTTTCCAGTCTGTCTTTGTACAGATACTTATGCCTCCCTAAACATTTCCCCTTAGTTGTGAATCACTGGCTAGTTTCAGCGCTGTGTGCCTCATACTGGTCAGCTGATATCTTCTGTAATTGTGCTCAGGACTATAAATACTGTCATTAATGAGCCTGTGATGACAGAATGTGAAAGCACCACCAGGGAAGAAATGGCCAAAGCACCAACCTCTACCTACCTCTATGCAAATTTCGAAAAATAATGGGAAAATGATATGTTATGGTGCTTATTTCAAGTACAAATGATAAAAAAAAACTGCCTCAAAATATGCATTATTAGTAAAAGATCAACTGACTAATATATTTGAAAAATAAATCATATTATATCCTGATAAAATAACATTTTTGCACGAAAGCATCAGTTATATTCTGTTGCCTGGAAACAAAACTTAAGTAGGCTTAAAGAACATTGAGCTTCACAAATACAAACAATATAAACATAAACAAGTATTATACATAACAGTTGAGCTGCTTTTATTGAAGTGTTAATGCATTTGTTGGGGTAGAATGATCAGGGTAACATACAAATGGCACAAAAACCCATTTAATCCCAGCTGAGTGAATCTATAGACTGTTTTCTGCTGATAAATATTTAAGGTATACATTTATAGTATACGGTTTGTTTTAGCAAATGCTTTGGAATTCATTTATTTCTGTAGGGCAGCTCAGGAGGTAGAGTGGTTCATTCCCCCCAACTGCAGGATTGTTGGTTCAATTCCCAGCTTTTCTAGTCCACGTGTTGAAGTGTCCTTGCACCCCCAGTGACAGATCATCTGGACAGAGGGTGCATCTCCACTCCCAACATCCCCATTAATTACATCAGAGGTCATTACAGGTCTTTGGCCAAATTGATTCAGCAGCATCTGCTAACCCTCTCCTCTGGGGGGAAGGTTAGCAGCCTCCTGATATTCATGATGGCGGGTGGAGCAGGAGGTTCAGTCTGTCTTTTGACTCTGTAAATAGGCCATAAAATGGTGCATGTGTCCAGTCCACTCTGGAGAGACCACATAGACAAAGCTGACGTCAGATAATCAGGCACATGCAGGAGATTCTGTGGACCATTTTCTGTGCTGAGTGTTGATATGCTGTTCCAGAAAATGATAATAGCATGTATTTAATTACTATTAAAACTGCGGCAGATGACAAACATGGCTTGTAAACTGTCTCATTAACTTTATTTCATGGCACTCCTTCTGGCATCTTTTCTCTCATTCATCCTTAAATAGAATTAAAATGGCTAAAATGCTTTAAAAAAAAGTCCAATACTCCTTTTCTCCCATACACTGTTATTCTACTCACATCACAGTCTTTAAACATAAATTTTATTAAACATTCAAAGAGCACACTGGGGAACTGCAATGAATCGTCTTAACAGTGCTGGATGTGTTGTGTACCAGCCCTCACAGGTCAAACTGGCAACAATGACAACAAACCAAATCCAGAAAGTGAAGTAGAGCAGGTGGGAAAAGTGTCCTTACTGAAATCAAAACAACTTCAGTGCCCAGAAATGCCCAGCAACACCTAATAAGGTTTCACAAATCTGAAATGATATTTTAAATAGTTAATCATTTAGTAAGTACACTTTTACTATAGTGTTCTTAAAATAGACTGTGTTTAATGTTGACTAGTACAGTAAAATTGTCCTCTTATGCTTTCATATAAAGTATTCACAGAATATAAAGTGGGTTTATAACAGTGTTAAACTCTGTACAATGGCACCTTTTTGCTAACACTGTCATCACCTCCTCCATCTGACAGCGCACTTGCTTATTAGGCCAAAAAACCTAATATTACTGCATTAATATGAAAGTTAAGAAGCATCTTGTCTTTTTGTATACTGGATGAAAGATTTAAGTTTTGTTTGTGCAAGCAGATATGCCCCTCCTTGATGTGGAGTTTGTTTAGATTAGGGAAGAGTTGCAACTTGGAAAATGGAATAAAAATCCTTATTATATAGTATAATACTTTTGATTAAAATGGCTCAGTGTTGGAACAACCTTTCTGGTGTTGTCAAAACCTCCCAGGGTTTTATGTTACAGAAAATGGAAGCCTAGCTGTCTCTGAATTAGTGATCACACATGAGAAGCTCAAACTGGACCAACATTAGTCTACATTATTCTACAGTTCCTCTTATTTCTTGTAGTTTTTATTCTGCCTCGATTCCTCTCGCACATGCTGTGGTGGATAATTGTGAGCGATAGACTGCCTCTGAGAGAGACTGACCCTCCCCCTCCTCTCTAAGCTGAGCTGAAGCTGAGGCTGTGGCAGCCCACATCCAGCTATAGAGTGGCTGCTCGCTCTTTGTCTGCTTGCATGTAGCACACACAGCGGACACACAGCTTCTTAGCGACAGAGAACCCCCGTGCACACACACACACACACACACACCTTGTTCCCACCCCAACAATTCACATGGTAATTGTGGGTGTTTCCAGTCTGTCTTTGTACAGATACTTATGCCTCCCTAAACATTTCCCCTTAGTTGTGAATCACTGGCTAGTTTCAGCGCTGTGTGCCTCATACTGGTCAGCTGATATCTTCTGTAATTGTGCTCAGGACTATAAATACTGTCATTAATGAGCCTGTGATGACAGAATGTGAAAGCACCACCAGGGAAGAAATGGCCAAAGCACCAACCTCTACCTACCTCTATGCAAATTTCGAAAAATAATGGGAAAATGATATGTTATGGTGCTTATTTCAAGTACAAATGATAAAAAAAAACTGCCTCAAAATATGCATTATTAGTAAAAGATCAACTGACTAATATATTTGAAAAATAAATCATATTATATCCTGATAAAATAACATTTTTGCACGAAAGCATCAGTTATATTCTGTTGCCTGGAAACAAAACTTAAGTAGGCTTAAAGAACATTGAGCTTCACAAATACAAACAATATAAACATAAACAAGTATTATACATAACAGTTGAGCTGCTTTTATTGAAGTGTTAATGCATTTGTTGGGGTAGAATGATCAGGGTAACATACAAATGGCACAAAAACCCATTTAATCCCAGCTGAGTGAATCTATAGACTGTTTTCTGCTGATAAATATTTAAGGTATACATTTATAGTATACGGTTTGTTTTACCAAATGCTTTGGAATTCATTTATTTCTGTAGGGCAGCTCAGGAGGTAGAGTGGTTCATTCCCCCCAACTGCAGGATTGTTGGTTCAATTCCCAGCTTTTCTAGTCCACGTGTTGAAGTGTCCTTGCACCCCCAGTGACAGATCATCTGGACAGAGGGTGCATCTCCACTCCCAACATCCCCATTAATTACATCAGAGGTCATTACAGGTCTTTGGCCAAATTGATTCAGCAGCATCTGCTAACCCTCTCCTCTGGGGGGAAGGTTAGCAGCCTCCTGATATTCATGATGGCGGGTGGAGCAGGAGGTTCAGTCTGTCTTTTGACTCTGTAAATAGGCCATAAAATGGTGCATGTGTCCAGTCCACTCTGGAGAGACCACATAGACAAAGCTGACGTCAGATAATCAGGCACATGCAGGAGATTCTGTGGACCATTTTCTGTGCTGAGTGTTGATATGCTGTTCCAGAAAATGATAATAGCATGTATTTAATTACTATTAAAACTGCGGCAGATGACAAACATGGCTTGTAAACTGTCT